TATATATATATAAACTTTTGAACCATATGTATTTTCTGACTCAGATTGTCGAGTTAGGTCGAAATATAGTAAAATTAACGGAAAATTACGTCATGAGGACAAATACAATAGGTTAGATTTTATGAAATCTACTAAAAAAATATTGAGACGAAGAAACAAGTATTGAAAAGTATTGGATTGACTAGGAAACCTATTCTTTTCAATACTTTTTTCTTTGTCTCAATACTTTTTTTTAATTAGAGTTATTGAAATTCTGTAAAATGCATCTGAAAGCTCTTCAAATCAGCTTTAATTTGAGTACCATATCATATGTGTAGTCGTAAAATTTTTTAGAAATGCCAGGATTTAAAAACTTTCAAAATCATAAAAATTCATATTTCTTCACTTTCTTACTCGAGTAACTTTTGAATGGGATAATTTATTGAAATTCTGTAAAATGCATCTGAAAGCTCTTTAAGTAAGCTTCAATTTGAGTCCTATATCATATGTGTAGTCTCAAAATTATATCCTATTCCGCTATGCCAATTATAAAATTTGCTATTGCACTGGTTTTAGTATTTTTCTGTCGATACATATGTTTGTCGATTGCATAGAAGTTAAAAGCCCTAGTTTTGTATACAATCCTCGTTATATTTTTTTCTATTTATGATGAAATCTACTTCCATTTCGGCTGCCGAATGGTCTTTTTTTGTGGTATTTAGTTTAATATAATAAATATTATAATTTTAAATTCAAAAAAATGCCGATGTACCATGTAAGGTTGTATGTTAAAATTCTAATTTTTAATCGTTAATAACTTTTTGAAATAATCGATAACGAATTTTCAATTTTTGAGGGAAGATCACTATATAATTAAACTCATCAAAACCAAAAAATATAAATTTATATCCTACTATTAAGTCTTACGCATGAACGTCGTTAACGCTCCAAAATCTTCGATTTGGTTGGTTCTTGAACTATTCGAGCTCAAAAATCTGGGACTTATTTTAGATCAACAGTTTTTGAGATTTTTAAAGAACAGTAAGTATCTTTTAATCGCGTCGTTCGATTTTTATTTTCCAGCAACATTCAACGCAGTTTTTCTAGCATAAAAAAGTTTATTAAATCTTGAATCGATTAGTCAAAGAATTCGAAAGTTGTCTAGTAAAAAAAAAAAATTTTTTTTTAAATTCTTGATTTGCTTAACGGCGTTTGAAGAAGTTTTTTAAGCACAAACAAGTGTTTAGGAGGTCTTGGGTTGATTAGTTATACATTTTAAAAGTTATTTAGAGATAATTTTAGTTTTTTTTGTCTTTATCTAAGATCTAGGTCTTAATAAATACTTTCAAACGCCGTATAGCTCATACCAATCAATTAATTCGGTTTAAAGATATTGTAAGGCAAACACACACACACACACACACAACCGAGCGTCCATCCTGGAATAGTCAGAACAGCTTCTTAGGATCTCAAAACATGGAGATCTGATCGAAACTCGCATTCTCAAAATCAAACCAAAATTAATAATTTCTTACTTTTGAAAATTAGTCATTTTTACAACTGGAACGTAAAAATTGCGGTGAAAAGTCGGTGATAATATTCAAAAGTTGCTCAAAAACATTGCTTTGAATGACAAGTTTTAAGCGACTATCAAACATTATTTTATTTAACTAATTTCTAGAGAGTACCACTCTACACTTTACTCATACCTCTTTTGTTTTTAATAATGGAGCTATTAAATTTGTGACTTTTAGGTTTATACTTAAAATATGTAGAATTACAGTGAGATTTTTTTGCTTATTTAACATAAAATTTTTATCACTTATACTTTTTTAATTATAGGAAAAATTTTTAAGTCATTATTCACATTATTTTTTAAATTATAAATATAATAATAAATGAGTTAAAATTATAAGTTGCATATTAATATTATTGATAATGATGATGATAATAATATTGATAGAAATATCATACAACAAAAAGCAAAATTATTCAATATAAAAAAAATTTAATCGTTTTCATTTTTGAGACACATTAATTGATAACTTATAGCAATCCTTTCATTTCTTGCATGAATTGCATGTATGCATCATCCTTTGTTTTTGGTTGAGGTGGTTTAATAAGCTGCGTTTCGAAATTCTTTTCAGGCAATCGTATAATACTACTTGGTTTCCGCTGATCGTCCCGTTTCACTCTTACTGAGGTAGGAAGGAACCTTGTTACATCTGCCGCCAAATTTCTTATCTGTGGTTTTGCTTCAATAGTCGTTGTACTTTTTCCGTCTTTGTCTTGGCGATTAATTAATTGAGGCGCTGCTGATAAAACATTTGGTGTTTTCTGTGGTGCAACTGTATTATTAGAACTTTGCATCTGAGAGTTAGATAAGTTTGATAAATGTGATAAATTCGAAAGCTGCAGTGTTGGAGGTGGCATGCGTGGTAAATTTGGCAGTCCAGATCTTAGCATTCGAGGCATACCCGGAGGAGGCCCTGAAAAATATTGTAGAGAAATTATGTTAATGATACTTGAGAATATATACACATATAATAAGAATTTTTCTCTATTATTAATGAAAGTTTTGATAAACAAAGATATTAGAATATTTTTATTAGATAAAAGGCAACCACGAGTAATAAGTCCTAGTTAACAAATATTTGTAATGAAAAAAAAAAAAAAAAAAAAAAAAAACTATCCACAAATTTTGATGTTAATGGTGTTAAATTTTAACGACCTTTTTATACGATAAACAAAAACAAAATTAAACATTTTGAGAATAGTAAGGTAATAAGGTCGGTATATTTAACATACTTTTTTAAATAATTGAAATATATTTTATATTTTTGGTAATTGAGATCAATAATCGTGTTAATGTAGAAATAATACTGTGATTATTGATTTTCAATGCTAAAGAAGTCTAAACTATACTTTAATTATTTAATAATGTTAAAGTAGATTTTATTATCAGACTATAGTAAAATAAAGCCCAACTGGAAGATTTTTTAGTTTTATTTCAACTTGTAAAGCGTATATTGAACACAATTGTCATGAAAGAAATTTTTTTTGAGTTGATGAAAATAAAAATACCGAGGAAAATTCTCAAAAATACGACTGAAGTAAAAAAAAAAAAGTGATCTCCTGGTTGAGCTTTATTACAAATCAATGCTGGCATATTTTTCTGAATTCTGATAATTGTCTATTATTTATTGTAATTATTTTTTTTGTAGCTGTTTCTTGAAAAGAAATAAATGAATAAAGTTTTAAAATTAATCGGTTAAAAAGTCTAGTAGTTATATCAAAAAAATAATTTTTTGAAAAATTTCTGACATTACTCAAACGAATAATAATGTAAATGCGCGCACCAAACTATTGTGAAAAAAATTAAAAATATCTTCCCAAGATCTCAAAACGTCGAGACCTGATTAAAATTTCATTTGTGGAAATCGAGTGAAAACAATAACTTCTCAATATTAGAAAATTCTTTTACTTCAATTAAGAAAAAAAAGATACCTGGGGGTAACCTAAGGCCTATACGAGGAGGAGGTGGTGGTGGCATACGAAGATGCATTGGTGGTGGTGGTGGCCTGTAAAGAAGAGGTGGAGGTGGCATTCCCATTGACGGAATATTGTGTTGTAGTTGTTGTTGTTGTTGTTGTTGTTGTTGTTGTTGCTGCTGCTGTTGTTGTTGTTGTTGTTGTTGTTGTTGTTGTTGTTGTTGTTGTTGTTGTTGTTGTTTTTGTTTTTGTTGCTCTTGTTCTGGTTGTTGTTCTTGTTCTTGCTGCTGAGGTTGTTGTTGGTTCGAAACAACTGGGATATCCGAAGATTCAGAAAAATCAACGTTTTCAGAATCGGACTGAACAGTTTTATTTTTCAATTGATCACTAGGTTGTGCATCAAGTAAACCTAGTCTGGCATTTAAATCTTGGGCTCGTTCTGTTTCTCTTTTTTTATGCACAACCTCCATTTCTCGCATGAATTGATCTATATCTTGCCCTGCGATAGCTAACATTTTCTGTTGAAGACTTGTGGGCTTAACTTTTTGAACTTCTTTAAACTTTTCTTTATCCACATTTTTGTCTTTGTCGTCTTTCTCTTGTCTCTCAACTTCATCGTCATCTGCGAAGCGTATCGTTCGGAATTTCGGACTAACATCTTTGGACTAATATATATATATATATATATATATATATATATATATATATTAAAATTAATTCAAGTTTTAATGTTTGATGAAAATAATTTTACTTTACCTTATCAGACAAATCTTCATCTTCAGCAAAAAGATCTGGACATGGAAAAGGTGGAACTCCTGGTGGATCTTTATTAGCGATCAATGACGAAGTATTTGATATATTTGAGTATACGCTGCTTTTTTTCAGAATGCTTGGAGGTATGGGAATATTCATAATCGGATGATGTTGAGGCAGATAATGAGGATGTAAAGCATAAAGATGAGTAGCAGGTTGTGGCATGTCCGGTAATGGAATTTGTGATGTCAATGATCCTAAAAAAAATTACTTGTTAAAAAATTCAATTTTTCTAATTAAGTAGTTAATTATACACACCTGTAAAATTTCGAGGCACATCACTGTTTGATGATGGCAATGGAATTTCATCAATTTGTACTTGTTGCGCATGTTTTACTGCTTCAAAGTAAGTTACTAAATCTACACGACGTCTTTCATACTGAATTAACTGCTCTTTCAATTCGATCCATTTTTCTTGATCATCTTTAGCCTATAATTAAAAAAACATTCAGTACAATTCTAAAAATGTCGACTTAAAAATTTTAACTAATTATAAATGATTACTATATCAGTAAAAATATTATACTTACATACATTTTTAGAACACGATCTAAAGTTTCTTTCAGTTTTTTACGTTTATCTTTTAAAACTTTCTCATTCAAAGGTGGTGGTTGCAAAACATTGTATTCTAAAATTAAATATGATTATTAAAACAATATTCTTGCTAAAAATTTTTAAATTATGAATTAATATCAATATGTATAATTTTTTATTCAGAATAATTCTTCATAATTAATTATTTATAATCTTCGTAGGTAGCTATAAATTAAAAAAATAAAAAGATCAAAATTTACAGACAAGTTTATACCCATGTAAAAAAAAAAGGTATTTCCAAAAATGAGTCTAGTACAAGATTATGATGTTCAAAACGAGATGATTTGTTATGAAATGATCCATACATAAGTTAAACACTTCATATTAAAAAAAATTAATAAATAAATAAATAAGAAGAAAAATGTATACAGGTTAGAATCAATTTCTTATGTTTATAACATTTTTCTTACCCATTTGATCAATCTTTTCCATCTCTTCAATGATTTGTGTAGGGTCTTTTCCTTTCAATACGGCAGCTCTAACTAATTGCCTTTGTTTTTTATTCTTTTTCAATTCCTTTTTTCGTGCTTCCTTGCCTAAATGGTGAAATTTATGTTAATTATTAACATTGGCAAACAAAATATTACATAATAGCCATAAGATTAGCAATAATAATAATAATAATAATAATAATAATAAAATTAACCAAGCAATTAATTAAATAAAACATTTATCAATCAAAAACTTACGAGCTTGATCAGTAGGATTCATGTATTTTCCACTTTTAGTGGTGTTAATAGATCGGCGACCCATTTTTAAAATTTTTTATAAAAGTTCAGCTATTAAAAATTTTTTTACAGAAACTTATATATGCAATTACAGAAATTATTTAACCTAAATTAAATTGTAAAACTATTTTGGATTTATTACAGAGACAGATGACGGACTAAATTGAAAACAGACAGAAAGTATACACGTGTCAGTGTATTTAGACAATCTTGAAAGGGGAAGGAGGAAATACTTACGATTTAGTTGCAGTCACGGAGGATTCTGAAAGAGTGGCTCTGTGTAGTTTACATGTAAATGTAAAACTTTTTGAAAAAAAAATGTGTAAATCAATTATTATATAGCTTCCGCAATAGTTAGTCGCATATAAATTTATAAATTTTTATATACATATACTTTTTTTTATAAATATTTCAAACAAAACATTTTAATTAATAATAAATGATAATAAAGTAATTATTTTGGAAGGAAACGTCCATAATTTTTTTGATCATGAAAGATTGAAAACAATTTTACCATGAATCCTTTTATTTTTTTAATATTTTATTTTTGACGCATTTAAGACTGTGAATTAGTTGATTATTGAAACTTAAAAGTTCAGTTAGTGAATTTTGATTATCAGTTTTAAAAACTGCAAAAAAAATACATCAAAAACATTCAGTGGATTAAAAAAAAAAAAATTAGAAAAACGGTTAACCCTGAAGGCCATCCCTGCAACTTCCAGCTAATTCGATACCTAGGCGCTTAAAATTGCACTTATGACATTTTCGAGCTCTTCGAGCTCAAAAATACAATTTATGTGTTATTTTGAGCTCTCCGAGCTCAAAAGTCTTATCAAAATTCGATGAAACACGATTTTTCTAATTTTCAAACTGCTGTAACTTTTTAATAAATCAACCGATTTTCACGCGGTAGGCGGCGATCGATGTGGTTTTTTGAGCTCTATAAATGATTCTGAACAAAAAAATTGATCTGATGAAAAATTTGGGAGTTATTACAAAAAAAAACTTTTCGATTTTTTTCGAGAACGATATCTCACGAACGCATCAACCGATTCTGACGCTCTATGTGGCGATCGATGCGGGATTTCAAAGTTAATAGCTGATTAGTTTTTGAAGATCGGTTCTGCCAATTCGGAGATATTTAAAAAAAATGAAAAAAAAAAAAACAACTTTTTTTGTCACTTTTTTTTGCAATTTCTCGAAATCTAATGGTCCGAATCGGATCCAACTTACAGGAAATCTAAGTTTGCCGAAGCCCTTTCGAATGACACCAACCGCGATGACACACACACACACACACACACACACACACACACACACACACACACACACACACACACACACACAC